AAACCTATTTATAAGTCTTGTTCATCTGAGAAAAAACAAAATAGTGATTGAAAATTGAAAGTTCCACTACAAAATTCTTAACAATCACAATCTCTTGCTATAATACCTTAGGATTATTGTCAACAGACAAGAAACTTATTCCCACTAACCAAATACACTGTTATTTGTTATCCATGAGAAATAAATTAAACTGCCCTATTATTACCTGTTAAATTATTACGATTAATAGAGTAGAATAATATTCATTACATTATTTGATATTTTCTTGAAAATCAAGATATCAACTAAAAACAAATTCACATTTAATACATATGTAGAAATTTGGACCAAAACAATAGAAGGTAAAGGATTTACAAAACAGGGAAAATTGTGATAATTTCCTAGGATTTGAAAGTCTACCATTGATTTGTGATGTAGTAATAAAAAAGCCAATTATCTTGGTTTCAATATTGCAGTACTATTGACCTGCAGGTTGTTTTCAGTGAAATATAAAAAGAATTTTATTCTGAATAGGAAAAACCTTAAAAATGATCAACTATTGTTTTACTGATACCCATTGTAATTCTTAGAGATTTGGGAAATACAACTCCTGAACATTTTATGACAATTTTTAGTTAAGAAACAAATTGGTTCTTCGAAGAGACCCTTCAATTGTTTCATTCTTTAATCTGTGCAATCGTAAATATATACACAACTCAGCATGATAACCTATAACGTTTGTTAATAATGACGATACTTTATCGATTATGGGGACAAAAAAATTAACTAAGGTGTGGAAAATATTGTTCTTATTACGAAACTAAAAAACGGAATTTGTGAATATTGTATAGTTTACAGTTTAAATCATGAACTAATCTTGACTAGACCACCATTGGACACCTAAAAGCACTAGATGGCCGCTTCCTCCTAGTACGGGACTGATCATGGATACCCAGTCACGACCTTGCACTGAGGAGTCAAGCCCAGAACTCTCAATCTCACATGTAAACGCTTGGCCTCTTGACTACTGAGCCGGCATCCAATAGTGTCAATGTCTAACTTCGAATCTGCAATGTGGAGTCGTGAGTGCACACTTCTGGAAAGTTTCATAATGAGACAAAACGCCCGTCAAGGGCTTTCAGGTTTTTAATGGTGGTCTAGCCAGGATCAGTTTGTGACTTACACTATAGAGATGGAATTTTGTAGAGTTTGATAAGATAATAAGCAGTGCCAAATGCTCGGTATTTCTGAGTTACTCCCTTATTACACTTTCTATGAATTTACTTATACCAATTTTGAGTCATACCTTTTTGAGCTATTCACACTAAACGCGATTCCTACCATTGGTATAGCTCCAAAAGAGCAAGTACACTGATAAATATATCGAATTGCCCGGATGTGAGAGCCTATCTTTTGGATTACTGATATGCATAAAGAAACTAATTAATACTAGTCTCAAAGTTTTTGAGAATGAAACGTTCAAGAGATCTGGCTACCACTCTATTTTGTCTTATGAATTAGTGAATGCTTCCCATTTATTAATAAAGCCGTTCTCCACCAATTACCAAAACATTTTGTCAGCTCACTTTTCTGATTGATCAGTCGGGATATCATCTAAAAGACCTTCCAGTAATCAATAAATCGCACTTAGTGGGAAAACTAATAGAGCTACGAGATGGCGTTTATATTCAAAGATTAAAATATGGTCAAAACTTAAGAGCATAAATTACACTACTCGCTATTACTAAGTAATATAATCACTAGCAATTGTTTGAGGATGCATATTAATCCGAAATTGTTTTATATTTCACATATATTTGAGAAGTATGATAACTTAATAATTAGTTATGAAAACCTTATAATTCTCGACGAACTATCTTTGAGATCTCTTCAAATTAAATTTTCAAAAATCTACATCGTGGAAACCGATATCCAATCAAACTTATCCACAGACACATGACGACAGCGACTGTCCCAAAGCAACTAATCTCAAAACTACAGTTCAAAAACAATGTTATTTGTGAGAAAGAAATTTAACGTAGAAGAAATTAGTTGTAGGATCAGTAACATAAGGAAAACAGTTAGTCAAGCCTGTTATTGTATCTTTGGACACCATGCGGCATGGTTGAACAAATGATAGTTAAGGATGATTGTGAGCTCCAATCATTCAGACTTAATTGATATATGAAATCAGGTGTGCTTGAATGGAGATTTCCACTTTATTTATAATAAACTAAATGGCTTCATGTGTTCGGCATCTTTATGCTTCATAATGTATCGGAATTCATGCACAAACCAATCATTTGACTATAGAATAAGTTTGTACTATTCCTCTGCCTACTTAGCCACCGATATATCCCACACAAAAGAGGCCAAAAAATAAATTTTACCCTCTACTTCTCCTAGATTTCTTTTTGCTTTTGTATTTCTACATAATCTTAGTATTCAGCTCTCAACTTAAGTAAAATTTGACTTATTGACGAAAATGTTTTGCTTATTCTTCGATTATATATCACGCAATCTATCACTCAATTAATTATATGTTTTAATTCATTCATAAATAAATACTTTGGTCGCTAAAAGTACTCCATCTTTCTTCTTTCTTCAAATACTTCGTTAATCACAAGTATTTAACTTGCGTCCCGTAAGACTACTGTTGTTAGACCCCAAAAACCGTTGTTTCTAGCCATATCACAAGAAGGGTGCGCAAACCGAAATCTAAAGATGTTTTTTACTCCTTACTGGTTACGTTCATTATCCTCATTTCGTTCTTAGACTATGCACTGTACCATTTCCAGCATTTCTAGTTAACCGTAATTTGTACTTACATTTCATCGTGTTGAACAAATATATACATCATTTCAGCACATATACATCCCCAAATCAAGTAAATAAATCGTCAGAACTAATAATAATTAATTCATTTAATGTCCAACAGTAGTTCATAATTCTTAAGGTATTAATAAAACAAGCTAAAGATATACGATAAAACACTCGCCATTTAGAGTCCTATGTGCACTGCTCGTACATACTCTCTACCTAGCCAGCTCATAAATATTGATTCCTGTTTAGAAACTCTAGTAGTTACATGGTTAAGAAGATATGAATAAAATATTTAAAATGGATACGATAGGCTTAGTCTAGTTTAATCCTGAAAGTTGTAAGGAAAGTTATGAAATTGATATGATCTGCTCACATAGAAATTCAACTAAAATGAGTTGTATTTTATCAATTTAAAAACTTAACCTTAAATTATTAGGTTATAGGACCAAAATCAACACTTACCTACAGTCAGGCCATCAGTCAGTCAGTCAGTAACAACGTAGAACTTCGTATGTACGCACATCAGTTCGAGTTGCCACACCACATTAGCACAGAGATGCAGTTGTCGATTCAAATCTCGTAGTGGTAGAGGTAGTAAGAGTATAAGCAGTGATCGGGAAGATTAGTGTTTGGAGATGTTAATTAAAGAGTATAATCCAGTGAAATAAATTTGGAAAGCGAAAAAAACGAATACGAAGAATTCAGATTAGAATTTGAGAGAACACAATGATTGGGTGCACCTGCGCCATTGCAAACGATTTTGAGCCATGTCATTCAAGGTCTCTAACCATCGGTTGCTATCATCTCGCGGACCCCAACCAGGTAGTCTACACCTACGAACATGACTCAGTCCACTCGTCGTTGATTTCATGGATTTGTGCCACCTTTTAGTCTGGCTGCCCCTAGCTTTCTTCTAACCTACACTATTCTGTACCATAAAATATCGCACGTCGGGGTAGTCGGTGGTTGGGCATAAGTAACAAATATCCCAGCCATCTCAAGTGATGAATTTTCACGACTTCATCAATCAATTTGTTATCCTTACCTAGTTGGTACCCGTTTCCTAATAACTGCATCACTTACCCGGTCGTCCTACGATATACGAGCAATATTTCGAAGACACATATGATCAAATACTAGTAACCTACGGATATCCTGTACTCTTACCGGCCATGTTTCACTGCCATGAAGTAGGACGGAACGGATTGCTGGGCAGTAAATACGCCCTTTGGTTGATAGATGGATATCTCGCCTACGCCATAAATGACGCAAGTTGGCAAAAGCTAGTCGAGCCTTCTGTATCCGTGCTGAGATTTCGTCACACACCAGACCACAAGGGCTGATGAGACTTCCAAGATAAGTGAAGCGGTCGACACGCTCAATTACTTCACTCCCTATAATTAGTCCGGGTGTCAATGCAACCCAATCCTGAAGAAACATTTTTCATTTCGAGGGGGAGAATCGCATCCCGAACATGCTTGCATTGTTGCTTAGAGTGGTCAGAAGACTCTGCATTTGTCAGCGTCTTCACCAAATAAAACTAAGTCATCAGCATATTCTAAGTCAACAAGTGAACCTCCCGGTAGAAGTTCAACCCCTGGAAAACTAGACGAGGAAAGTGTTATCTCTAAAAGTACGTCGACGACAAAGTTGAACAAGAATGAAGAGAGTGGACAGCCCTGACGAACACCACTTGAGGTAATCAATTCTGATGACAGTTCGCCATAAGCTCTCACTCGACCAGTTGTGTTCGAGTAGAGAGCCTTTATAAGGTTAATGTACTTCTTTGGTACTCCTTTCAGTGATAAACACTGTCATAGAACCTTACGATCAACAGAGTCGAATGCCGCCTTAAGGTCGAGAAATACTATCATTGTGGGGCGTCTGAATGTGTGTTTGTGTTTTAGAACCTGACGTAGTGTGAATATCTGATCTATACAACCACGTCCAGTTCGAAAACCAGCCTGATTTTCTCTAGTCTGTTCTTCACGAGCTTTGGTTAGGCATCGAAGTATTATTGAAGCTAATATTTTAGACACTAAATTAGTCAAACTAATTCCTCTGTGATTATCACAAGAGGACTTTTATCCTTTCAGTTAATCTCACTGCTAATACTGAACCATCATCCTTAAAAATCTCAGGAGTAAACCTGTCAGGACTTGCACAGTCAGGCTATACTCCTAACCCATACACAAAAGTTGACATAATTGATATATTGCAGGTACTGATCACACCATTTGTACAATGAATTTATTTAAATGAGAAAAAATATCTGGAAAAGTATAAGTTTACATTTGATTGCTAATTTGTTTTTATACATACAAAACGAAACAAAATGAAGGTCTTCTTAATTAAGAATTATTATCATCACCAATACTAACTAGATGAATCCATGCGACGTTTCTTAGTTTTAGTATGAGCAGATTTCCATAAGGCATGTTTTACAAATCTTGTTGTAGCTTCTTTGTCCAATTTCAAACGTGCAGAGCCTTCTCTTTCGACTAACGATCTACACCTTTTCAACGCACTCATTACACGATCCTTTGCAAAAAACAAAAATAAACACATAAACAACACACAATTACAGACAAATAACGCGTTAAATGAGTGCAACTTATTTTCTTAAAAATCGTGAGCCCATAAAACTGTAATGCTAGGTAAGTAATGTTTTTAGTTTACTTGTTGATAGATATTTGTAGACTAGTGATTCAGAATGTCGTCAGTTTACAAATAATGAATTACAGATCCATAGTTATTTAGAGCTTTGACCACTCTCCTTATCTTGGAAGTCTCACAAGCACTCACTACAGATTTAGAAAACTCCTTTGGTTTTTGTCGAATTCCATCGCTTGTAGTATAGACAATAACTCCTACTCCCAACCAAGAGACGAGTGTACCGCACTGTAGTTCGCTTTGTCTTACGTTATAACTGTGAAACATGACATTTGTAAGTAATCAGTACTTGACTACAGGTGCCTATGAAGCATGTGAATTGTGACCAACTGGATTATTTCATCCAATTTTATTTCGAACAGTTTAGTAGACTTTCAAGACTTAAAGATAAGAGATATCGATTATAACCCTGTACATAAGTTTGAACTAAGTTAACAGGGTATAATTTTATTTCCCGAAATGTGGTGGATAGTTAATCGTATGCAAGTAATAACTTGTTGAGGCTTGTCAATAAATGTTTTTTTGTTGCATGTAAAATTTGTTGCAAAAATGTCTATAATACGACGGGCGAGATATTAAGGACAAGGCACGTTTCTATTATTGCATGGTGAAATTTATTTTTGCTTAAAGAAAAGTAGATCAATTTGATGGATCAAATGTATTTCAAAACTGATACGTTAATTTGCGGAATATATAAATGATAAATAACACTAGGTTATGTACGTAGGTGCTTTTTAGTCCTGGGGAGTTATAACAATCAAGCAAACACACACTAAAAGCTACTGACTTCTACACTCAGACATGTTGCTATAGAACTGGCGGTAAATTTGGTTACTTGAGTACCAATAGAGGATGAGAGGTTTCCTGCCATAACATGAATATCCTACGGACGGGATCATGGATGAGCACTGTTGAGGTGTTCCACAATAGGACGAAATGGTCATCCAGTGCTTCCAATTTTCCAATGGTAGTCAGACATCGATCGGTTCTACTCACTACCTTCTCGTGGCGGGGCTGTTGATTGCGAAATTGAGGGACGAAAAGCGGATGTCCGGCGCTTTAACCGGGTTGGTGGATACGGAGGATCCTTAGAAAACTATCTGCTTCGGATTTGGGCACCCGAGCAGTATCCTAACCCTCACATAAATCGAATGATTTATGCAGCACATATCTGTTTGGTGCCTCATACGAATGTTTATGTGTTTAAACAATAATAATTTCAACGAAATCTAAAAGCTCAAGCTTAATTTCATACTTATGTTGGTCGAAATAGGAAGTCATAGGTTATATTATTTATTGATAAAAAAGGAGGCTAAATGATTATAATAAAATATACAGTTTGTTTAAAAATATGACATAAGAATAGGTGGTTTAGCAGGTAAAGCAATCAGCTCCAACAGTCAGGTAGAGGGTTTGAACTCCACTACACCTACTTCGGTTCGGGAAGTCTTATAGTAAGGATAATCCATTCGCAAAATTTAGTTTAAAGCCGATCACGTAAACCTGTACTTAACAGAGAAGTTACATTAGGCAGTGAATTAAAATTGCGGCTGGTTAAATTAACCCATATTCTGTTTTCGAGCATATATCACACAAAATAAAATACTAAAATGGTAAATATAAGGGATATTTTGATAGATTTCTATGGGTAGTGAAGTCGTATTAGGTCAGTGTTATAAGTCTAAGAGCGACCCGAAAACCAATTTTGCTATTACAACATAAGTGAATGGCTTCTATAGAAACAAAACGTTCGTAAACAATCAGTAGAAATTGTGTTGTTCGTTGTTTGATTTAATTTAAGACGAAGGATTCAACACTTATTAATTGATACAACATCCAAATTATAACCTATGTACAGGCTTCTCATTTAAAATGACAAAGTGAAAGTTTTTAATGGTGAAAAACACCGTAAGAATACTGTCCATTATCATGAAAGAATAAGTATAATAAATACTAAAATAACGATCTTACCAATTCCTGCATAATAGGATGGCTTTGAGTTTCTACACCATTGCACCTAAGATACACTGAAGAGAATTACTAAAAAGGAATTCCTATCGACTTACTGAAAAACAAAGCATTAAAGGCGTAGCATAAAGACAGATCAGTTTTGATGGTATCCAAATCACTAACCTAAGACATTTTCTTGTTAATAAATTTCAATAGCATTACCCCAGTATTAGAATCATTCGAAAAGTTGCTAATTTTTTTTACAAGCTGTTCAACATCATCAGTAGCTTCTGAAAAAGAAACTAACTGAGCGCTTATTTCTTCAGGTATTTCATCAAAAATACTGCTGTCAACCATTCCAAGTCAACAAGACTGTGCAGTGCATAAGGCTAAGATGTAAAAATAATAGTAAACAACAGCAACTCAATCTGGCGACAATACTAATACAATTTATCAAATTACTACTTGCTTTACAATCTAGACAAGTAGTCTGTTAGGTTTACAGGTTCTCACCAATAATGGACGACCGTTCGTATGTTAATGGCTTTACCAACCAGTCAAATTGGCTTAACTGTACCCGCAGTGACATGATATAAACATGAGGTCATGAAACCATTACTCCTGGAAAGTATTTCCTTAGTTGTGAATTCTTAGAATAGTTTGAAACTATATACAAACGATCGAGCAAGCTGATTCCATAGGAAGATGTTCATTGCCAAGTGTTGGTCCGTCAGTCGATAGGCTTTATGGTACTAAAACATATCGAAAAGAATACCAAAGTGCACCCTATGGAAGCTTTCTACTAAGACACTACAGGTTGATCCTCGGCTTTCGTCAAACTATTGTCTGAACCGACTAGGTTTATTGTTTAACTAGGTTGGCCATATTATTTAATTTTGGTACATGTATACCACACATGGTGATGAACTCTTCGTTTGACATTTTAGAGGCTGATGTACCATGAATCAACTTAAATTCAACTACCTGGATAGTATACGACAGTTTAGTGGGGACACTTAGTAAAATCAGTCTTTGAATACTAAATGACAGAGCACGAAAATTTGAGATCATGCTTTCGCTCATCAATGCATTAATCCGACCATAGTGACTCAAATAGCGGAGCATGTTGGAGCGGTTATAATTTCAGTCAGTCAATCAGCTACAACATAGGACCAGGCACATATATGTTTCGGTCCAAGTTGTCACACTTCATTAGTAGAACAAAATGAACACCGAATTCATAGAGGGAGTTACTTGAATGGCAGTAATACATAAAAAAGGATTGCATACAAGGATACGATAGAGAGATAGAATTAGTTCGTAAAAAGGAAAGTATAAAGTAATCTCACAGTTCAAGGGAAGACAAAGATTGTATACATCGGCACCATTATGACCGATTCTGAGCCATGTCATCAGGAGTCTCCAACCATTGATTGTGATATTCGCGCGTACCCCAACCAAGAAGTCTGAATCTACCAACATGGCTCAGACCAGAAGTTATAATTTGTGGATAGTCTTGTATTTTGGTGCGAAATTCATCCATCCATATGGTTAAATTGCAATTTAGTACTACAGCTGTCAGTTAGTGATGAAAACCCTAACCCTAATGTGTAGTCATAAATTCGTACTCTAGATCCAAGTTCAAACTTCTCGCACTAATTTATAACCCTTTTTGACCCTAGTAAGTAAGCGAATTTCCTGAAGATCACTTTGGCCTCGAAGATCGTCTATACAGTATAGCCTCATCAACATGTCCACCACTTTACTGTCCATTAGTTTCACTGGTCTTGTTAAATCAACATACCAAAATGTCACTTGGTCTCGCTCAACTAGCGCAGCAACGCGAAAGGACTGGATATACGTCTACATACCAAAAGGTAGGTGTACTGTTCAACAGTTCGCCCTGTATTCATTTATGGCTACTAAACATGGTCCGTGAGAGAAAAATCGTTCTTACGTTGTTTAGTCGTAAACAACTTCAAAGAATAGCTTAGGTATGTTGGAATCTAAGGAATATTTAATGCCAATTTTTAGTTTAGAATAATACAATGATAAACCGCGTGGTCAGGCTGTTTACCGAAAGGATAAGTGATCAGGAATTATGATACATACTCCTAGTTGATGTGTACCCTGATATGCAGTTCATACTGTGAATTGGAGCCATTTTGCGAGTTGAGGACTTTTTGTTTGTTCTGTACAATAACAAGAATCTGTATTTCAAGACCCTAGGTTTTATATTTTTTACTAAGTTTATCTCTTATACTGACTCTTCATTATAATCGATATAAACACTTTTTTATTTTGTTTTCAATCATGTTAGCTCGAGTTGACGCATAATTCTACGAAATTTCATGTTATCCACAACTGGCTGTATATTAGGAAGTAATAAGCTTGAAGCATTACTGATAACCAAGTGAGTCTCTGAGCTTACCTGACCGATCCATTTGAAAATGGATTATGTGGTGGACGGCAGTTACTTTTTAAGCCAAGCTACAACTCATGTTGTAATGTACCCAATCTCCAAAGTTCGGAGAGCATTTCAGGTTTTCCTTAAAATTTGTTTACATCAGACCATGGGAGATTTTCCGGTTTTAATCCTAACTTTCCTAAATCTTCGATCGGAACTTCGCCAAGACTTCCAAACACACAGAAATTGCACATCCATCTGAGTAGTAATTACTACTTTTCGTTAACGAAAAAGTGACACTTAACTGACATTATCTCTAGGAATATAACGAATATTATAAAAATATCCAGAGGCCGAAACACCAGCAAAATTATAATTACTTGCGGAGAAAAGTTCTAACAACCCAAACTCTCAATTTCTGGGGAAATTTCGTCCGTTTTGGATAAATTTAGGGGATGCCGCAATAGAAAACTTTGGTGAAATGGCACAAAGACACCAAGATTTCCCCAGGTCTGGGGGGAATCCCCAATATGTTGAAGAAACTTTGGGTTTTCTCCAATATTTCCCCACAACCACATAACACTGAGGTTTTTCCCCAAGATATCATAGGGACAGAAAATACTTCGGAACTCGACTTAGTAGTCAAATAAAACGATGATCAGTCTTTACGTTTATGAAGGCTTAAGCTATAGATTTTCAGCAAACGTTTACTCAGAGATATCCGATTGTAAAACTAACGTTTGAGACAAAATCGATAGTCGACTCTGATCATAGTTACCGGCTTTATATAACCGTTTGATTTCAATTATTCTTGTTGACAGGTCATGCACCATTTAAGCGTGAGTATCAAAAATACCGTAATATCTGTAAGAAAACCATAGCGAAATCCCGTACCACTTACGAACGACAGTTAGTATATGATAGCCGTACTTGTCCGAAACGACTGTTTTCGTATGTTAAACGGCAAATGAAACGTAGTGATGGTATTCCCCCGTTGCTGTTACACGAAAATTCAGAATTACTAGCTGAATCAGATCGAGCAAAAGCTGAGACTTTTTCAGATTATTTTAGCGAAGTCTTCTCTACGTTTATTGTAACAAATACTTGTCCCACTCACACCGAGATACCAACCATTGAATCCGTACAGGTGACTGAGGAAACTGTCCTTCCGTTGATAACTAACCTCAAACCTGGTAAGATACCGGGCCCTGACGGGTTACATCCACGGTTGCTGTCATCTCTTGCGGACATTATTTCGAAACCGCTTGCGACACTCTTCAACATGTCCCTCTCACTCGCCCAACTCCCTAGAGATTGGAAGGACGCTATAGTTAGTGCTATATTTAAGGACGGTCAGCGACAGATAGTATCTAACTACCGGCCTGGCAGTCTAACTAGCATAGTCGTTAAGTTACTTGAAAAGATAATTCGGGTTAGGTTGCTAAGCCACATAGATTTACACAATCTGTTAGCTCCTGAGCAACACGGATTCCGTAACAAGCGTTCATGCTTGACTAACTTGCTTATTGCGAGGGAGGATTGGACAGCAGCCCTAGATAACGGCCTGTCTGTCGACGTGATATTCATAGATTTTAGCAAAGCGTTTGACAAGGTTTCACACGTAGGTCTTATGCAGAAGCTCACGAGCTTCGGAATAATAGGTACTGTACATGAGTGGATAGGAAATTTCTTATGTGACCGCAGACAGAGAGTTAGGGTCAATGGAACGCTATCCGATTGGAAGCCGGTCAAAAGTGGTGTACCCCAAGGCACCATCTTAGGCCCTCTGCTCTTCCTTCTCTACGTTAATGAGTTACCACTGTTACTTAGGTCGTCGACATTATTGTTTGCAGATGATGTAAAAATCTGGAGAACAATAAAAAGTGCGGCTGATCATATGGATCTTCAAGCTGATTTAGACGATTTAGTTAGATGGGCTCGAGAGTGGGGCTTAGAAATTAATGCTAGGAAGAGTGTACTAATGCACGTCGGTCACGGTAATAGTTACCGTTACACTATTGAGGGTAAACCTCTTCCATGCGTTCAAGAGCATAAGGACTTAGGAGTAATATTGTCATGACTTAAAAACAACTGCGCATTGCGAAGCAGCCGCTGTCAAAGGTTTTCGTGCGTTATGGTCACTTCGCCGAGCGTTCAAATCTTTTGACGAGGAAACGTTTCGAATTTTATACCCCATATATGTAAGACCACATTTAGAGTACTGTATCCAAGCAGCCAGCCCGTGTCTAGTAAAGGATACTAACTCCCTTGAGCGTGTCCAGCGTGTGGGAACGAAATTAGTGAAGGGTCTTTCTAGTCTCCCTTACGATGAGCGCTTAAAACGCCTAAATCTTTTCCCCTTGTCGTATCGTAGGACACGAGGTGACCTTATGCTGGTATTTCGTATCTTTAATTATGATTTGGGTGTTAATATGTCTTATCTTCTTGCTCCCTCCAGCACTAATAATCTCCGAGGTCATAGCAAGAAGCTTCATAAACCACGATCTAATAAACTTAAAGTGGGATCCCGTTTTTCTCATCGAGTACTCAATCATTGGAACGCCTTACCCGAACAAGTGGTATCAGCCCCATCAGTGAATACTTTCAAGGAAAAGCTGGACCTTCACTGGAAAGCAATGTGTCAGGATTAACACAGGTTCACCAACCTACTATCCTTATTACTGAAGACTGAAGAGTACGAAATAAAACTCCTTAGAAGCAAAAAGCTCTAGAGCGCACCTAAAACATTTAAAGCTGATATAAATACATAAACATCACTGCGCAGCATATGAAATAGGAGTTACTGAGACACTAACCAAACAGCCTCGAAAAGGGTCTGGGTCAAGTTTGCCTCCACGACCTTGAACGGCTTTGTTCACGGCGGGCAATTTATACTTGAAGAGAGTGTTAGTTTGCATAGGTTCATCGTGTTTGCATAAATAAGTAGTCTGCTGACGCCCGGCAGCTTGAAAGCGTCGTTGAAAATTATTTCAAGTGTGCTATCTTCCTTTTATATTGTCAAATGTGAAGATTTATAATAAGTACACAAATGCGGGATCAATTTAAAATAATCATAGCCTAGTGTGCTTAAATTCTTTTTGCGATTTTAAAATTTTGGGAGGCTGTTATATTAGGACTGGAAAATTATTGCGGATAATTTACTGGGTTACAGCTAGTTAAAATAGTGAGTCGAAAAATCATCCAGTCATTAATAAGTTGATGAATCGTGGGGTTTATTATTACTTATTCTTTCTCTGGAAGATTTGCACGAATATGCTGCCTTTTGTTTTTCCTGATTTTATCTCTTTAGTAACCCTATTTAAGTAGGGCTTAATATGCGAACCAATCTTGTAAACTGTAAATCACTACTGCAAATATGGCATATGCGTGCTCCGGCGAAAATATATTAATATTATCAGCTGTTTTTTCACTGCAAAGCTGTTCGAGTTTTATTTTAACATCTTCGTTATTCTGTTAAGTCATACTATTGCGACATGTATATTCGGTTATTTTTGTAACGACAAAATAAAGACCTCATTTTTCGCCATTTGTCACACACTATATGCAACTGCATTTATATACACTATCAATTGTCGCTCTGTATTGATGGTAAAGAAACGGATATAATTGTTTGGCTTTAATATACACACTGCCGTGATTGTTTCAAAATAAACGCTATCTCCGGCATCTGTTCTGCTTTATCGACCACGGCCGTTGGTTGAAGATTATAATAGTGTTATGACATCATTTCAGGCCTTCTCACACTACGTTGGAAATTTGGCTCGGATTATTATGAAATAATATTTATGGATTTAATCTTTCTCATTATGTTGTTGGTGCCACCTCGTGTAAAGGAACCTTGTTAACTCAGTGAACTCATCTGTGACTGTTATCTCGGAGTGCAGCTTGCACGTAACATTCACTTCATAACAAATGTTATCATTTTGCTAATTTTTATAGTATTTATGTTGTAACTGTAATTTGTTACCAATTGCTTTACTAATAAACAGACACTTTGGTTTATAGGGCTAATTCTTTTGGTATATCATCGGTAACTTCGCCTATTGTCGTATCTCAAATAAGCTATTTTGCTGAGATCCACCACAATAAAAAGTCCTCAATCACTATGTATCGACATTTACTGCATTGCAAGGAAAGCAGGCTAAACCCCTACAGAATTTAGCTAAACAAACAGACACTACATTAAACAATATAGGAGATTGAAGAACATAATATTCAGACAAAATAAGTTAGTAAATACGTTTAAATGAGATGTCGTAGGCGAACATCTAGCCTCATAATTTCGTCTGCTACCGCTTTAATACGTAGTTTTTCAGTTCACCTGACTCTTACCATCCATGTAACGTTATATACTGATAATAATTAGTGTAACTAAACGATTATTATTATTATTTTTTAGAGTACACGATAACTCAATTATTGTTCAAATGAGTTCAGTCGCCCACGCTTACCTAAAAGTAACACAATCCAATGAGTTAAAGAAGTTGCCTCTCCCTAACTAAGTGGCTAGGCTATCCTGATCATGCAGCTTACGCTAAGAATACACAAAGTCTCTCTAGCAAACAACCTGTCTATTGAGTAGTAGAGGATGTATTATAAAAAGGAAAATACACGATGAAGTGGCTGCATTTCCCCACCGCGTTCGACAACTTAACAACTACATGCTGACGACAGTTGATCATGAAAAGGTGAGTGCGACTGTTCGGTGCTGAATCTTCAGTAGCTGAATCACAGTGAAAATGAACTGAAAATTTTTCAGCAGCTCACTGTTATCATAATAGCTCGTCAACCTGATGTGAATGTCCATGAACTTTTAAAATTCAGATGATGTTATGATTTAATAAGGAGATTCTGTCTACCACCATAAATAACAGTTAGTTGTTGGGACTTCGAGGAAAAAATGTGCCGGGTAAAAAGACTGATCATAAAATTAGACCATCACGCAAATCATTTTCATTAATTTGGATAACGAAGATCAATATTGACAAGTCACTGGACCTGAAAACTAAGGACTTGTAGTGGTATTGGTTCCTAAAACATGACCTATGAAGATGAGCGTCCAATTACCTAAAAGATCTATTTAACAGTGATGAATGTGGCAACAAGGAATCGAACTCGCATGGCTCGGTCATATTGGCGTGGTCATGCTGCATAACCTATCGTTTTTGTGTTGAATATAGTATATCTACCTAACCAAAATGTGTACTTCGGAAACGTCAGACGTTATGTTGCTGACCGTCACGTAGGATGAGCTAGTGTAGATAATAGCTTGACTCTCACACAGGATCTTATAGATTAAACACTCACATGGTGACGAGTCTACAGTTTTGAGATTTAGTCAATCATTGTGGTACCGAAGATAAATGTCCAAATAATGTATTTGGCCATAATTTTACAGACTGATTGTTCTGATACAATGTGGAAACATTGAGGATGGTCTATTAACAAGGATCTTTACTTATTACATTCTCAATTCAATAGGAGAGCGCTATCAACTCCATAGTCTTCAGAGATGGCATAAATAATCCAAACCAACACCCAACAAAACTGTTTCTCTGTCAGCGGTGTTATGCATAGGAGCGGTGAGAAGTATAGTAGCGAAATGCCACTAGGCCTAAACTCCAATGCCTAGAAAGACAAAGTGTTCTATCACCAGTTTCATTCTCAGCTTGGGCAGCTCCTATTACGATCCTACGATTTCATTAATACTTACGGCAGATGCATTTACATATGGTGTGTGAGCTGTAATTTCACATAAATTCCATAATGGAATGAAAACAGCAATACATGCATCTCGATCACTAACATCAGCAGAGAAACGGTATGGTCAAATCGAAAGAGAAGCGTTGGCGATTTATTTGTTGTATACAGTTTTCACAAAATGCTTTAGGGAAGAACTTTTACGTTCTTGACTGACCACAAACCCTTTCATAGAGAAAAATTTTCGATTAGGAGGATTAAACCTTCAGAAAGGTATGAATATCACTTAAAATAGTAGAGAAATGTTCAAATCTGAAAATTTAAAGTAGTTCATTTGCAGCATTATGTACCTCGCATGCAATTCTCGATTTCAGGTGTCACAAGCAGGAAAATGATAGGTGTTTATGTTCCTTAAGACTTTAACACAAACTCTCATTGTGACAGAAATTTATTTCTAGTCAATCTATGAAAAGTATATTTAGCTAGGAGAACACTAGGAGCTTCATCCTGGAATAATTATAAAACTCTGTGAATCGCGCAAAAATATTCTGAACTTATATCAGTTACAACGGCTTTATTCAAAACTCACTTGAACTCACTTCGCAATACTACTGATTGATTGTTACAAGCTAGGGAAACAATAGAAAAAGTTTACATTTTATTTACAAACATTTGGATGCATGCCCTAAATTGCCTTCAGGAAGAATGTTGTTAAGTGGTAACCACACTGATTCTGAATGTCTCGTTCATCAGAATTTCATACCTATTTAAGTTGTATTCAGAAAATTAGTTCAAAGTATTTCTCTAAATTAGACAAAGCAGTAAATTGACCTCTCAGGGACAACCTCCTTTCGAGGCGGGAATTCAAACGGCTGGTTTTATGTTCTCATGTGGTCGGTGGAGTACGACTTGGGTTTGGAAGAAAGTTTGACTAGAGATGAGTTGTCAGTACTTCATCAGTTTTATGAAAGAATGCTCAGTTGTCCACTTGATATATGCCGATCGAAACGTTATCTTGTCCGTTGGCTGCGCGCTCGCAGTTGGGATGTTGATGAAGCAGAAAAAATGCTGTATTCTCATATAAAATGGAGAGATGTTCAGAAGGTAATGCTCATGTTTAACATAAATAAGTTCCTCACTTTCGCTTGTGGCTGCCTTTACTACTGGTTTCATTTTTTACTAATTTTTCGACTTTGCGATATTATCTAATCCCCCGACTTTGGGTAAATAGTGGGCTATTCTTCAAGCTCAACGAGAAACTAGTAATTTTCCCCATAGTCAGGATGAGTTTTAGGTAGATTTTCAAATAAGTCAATCAGATATTGGCTCATTATTCACCCTTGCTGATGTCCTTTGTTGGTAAAGAAACTCATTTCTCTCATAGCGGTTTGCCATTTACGTTAAAACCTTACGAATTATAACTTCTATCGTAATGCATTCCGCAACACTTCCGATCAAAACGTGGTTCAAGTTTGTTCGCATACTTCATTCCCACCCGTCATTGTTATAAATTCATATGTCCAGTATAGGTAAATACAATGCACATATACCCAAAGGTGGCAAATCTTATGCTTCACTGATAAAATCAAACTCATGTTTTTCAAGAAAATCACTATTATCCCCTAGTTTTTGTAATAAGCTTTCTCTAATATGTCACGTTTTAACATTTCTTTTTCGCTCACTAACGACCATTGCTTGATTCCAGTGATCAGTTGCCGGCAATCGCATTCAGTTTCTTATATTTATGCAAGCTATATTGAAAATCATATTAGCTTCCTGAGTAACTTTGTTGGTGTGTTTACATTCAATAAGTTATGACTTCTAGTATCTTGTTGAAATGACATGCAATGCTGATTAGTGTTGGAGACGTCTGAAAGAAAGTTAGGGGCGGCCAAACCAAAACTTGACATTAGTCGTTGAAGTCACTAACTTCTAGTCTGAGCCATGTTGGTATGTGCAGACCACTTGAAATCCGCGTGACTATCGTAACCATTGGTTGGAGACCTCGGGTGACATGGCTCAGAATCGATCATAATGGCGCCAGCGTATACTCTTTATCTTCCCTTGAACCGACAAATTAAAGCGCCTCCCTTCCTGTATTGTATAAACAATCCTTTAATATATTACTGTCATTAAATTGACTAATATGAATTTGCTATTCATCTTGTTCCTGGTCGTACGTTTTAGCTGACTGACTAAATTACTACACCCTGTTAACCAAATTAAACTTCTGGAGATAATCGTACAAGTGGAGCAATTAACAAACTCGGTTACCCTGTCCTGTGTTTTTTGAAAAAAGTAAATGAAGATTAGTGGCAAAGCACTACATATCAGTGAAACGTGATTTTAGCTACGGTGTCTGTGAAAGTCCCTAAGCTTAGTGTAGATTTAGTTAACCTCATTACTAAGGACTGTAGTTTCACATCAAACTGTCTAATTGGAAGTTTTCGAGGTAAATGTGACGGTAGGTCATCAGTAAGAATAACCATTTGGGACGTTTTCGTATCGATTTGACTCATGGATTTACAAATAGCTGTTGTGAATCATGTACGTAAGATTTTTTATTTAATTTTGCGAGCTGCTAGATGCAAGACTGAAACACTCAAAGTTAATTACGATGGTACGGGTTCGTTCAGTTTTTGTTCCACTCTAAACTTTCATGCCTTTATTACCTTACAGTCAAACTCCTCCATTATTTCGTAGTATTCCATCTAGTTTTCTGCTCTTTTGTCTGTAACTGTTGACTGCCCATTACTTCTTTGTTCCGCCTTATACTTTGTGATATGTTGTTTGGTCGATCACTTCTCGTGGTTTATTATGTATCTTCGTGTCAGTGGATTCGAAATCTAACTACTAATCTGTAACTCGCAAATTTAAATTCATTTCGCTTACGAATATTCGGACAGCCAGTTGATTTTTCTATTTGCTACTAAGTGTGACTACTGGATGGATATTTAATAAGTTGCTATGTTCCGTTATTACTATTACTTTTATTATGGTAGGTTACTATTCAGGCATTTACATTGGCAAACAATAGCCCAAAATGTCAATCTAAGCACATATTTATCAAATTATAAATGTCATCTGTCGGTCAATAGAAGTCGATTCTGTTTATTTTATTTCTAATTGCGCTTCATTCGAAGCTCCACTGTGATTATCATAAAAAACAGCAGTGTTCAGCTGTGATTTAGTGATTTAAGCGTATAACCTCCAACTGCTGAGTTGGGTGTTCAAATTTCTCGTTTATCTAGGTTTAAGCAACTGAGTAGTATCACTTTCACATTGAGAGTAAGGGAATCTGTACTAGGCTACTAATTAGTATCATCACTTTGCTATAATTAATTTTCCAAGCCACTGGTATTCAATCATGCATCTTTGGTTGTTTGGATAATCAAAGAATATGAGATATTACCTCGGAAAAAATAAAGCTATTTTTGCAGACAATATCATACTTGAACACAAAATGCCCACTAGAAAGTCTCGCAGTGTACCATTGTTTTCTGTAAGTACTATACATCACAGCAAAAAGGCAGCTAGAAATCAATGCGACTAAGTGTTCAGAGAGGATGTGATGTAAGCTAACTACCGTTATCAGTTACTTCTTACTGTCGGTGAGAATAAAAATAGTGGAAGACAGCACATTATACAAATAATGTTTCCCTCTTGTTAATCTGTAATATCTGGCAAAAAGTTGTTGCTAATACATACATAAAACATATAGATGTAGTTTTTAGTGTGACTTAAGGTGACTCGAAATCGGGACTCTTTCCATTGCTATACAAACGTCGATTTCTCACTTCAAGTTCATTTACGACAAAGAAGAATATAATCAGAGGTACTTCAAGCAATTCGTCCCCTTGATAAATTTCGATAATATAACAAGAAGACAAAGATTACCAGAACTATGTGATATATTAGCGCAATATATTTCGAACAGCCTGATCACATATATACTTATTAAGAACATTTATTTACAAAAATGAAAGGTCAACTAGACTAGAAATGGAGGGTACGAGGAAACAAGCATAATAAAGAAATAATATGAAAAAAATTGAAACCTCGTCGCTCTGGATAATAAGCTAATATTGTCAGAGTAGGTGAGAACAACTGTCTTTGAATACACAAAGGGGGCTTGAATTTTCGTATGGCTAAGGCTTCGTTAAACCTTAGTATACGCCCTATTACATTTTTGTACAACACCACAAAAGCCAAGTTAAGATCAACCTTATGACCTGTTCTAATTGTGTTTGGCAACAGAGGGTGATGGATGTTTATCCTTTACTATCTATCGTAACCAATGGTTAGAGACTGTGTGACATGGTTCAGAATCGATCACAGTGGCTTAGGTGTATACACTATTTGTCTTCCTTCAAACTATGAGATTAAAATCGTTTCATATCTTTCTTTCTACGTAGTGAATCTTTCTTCCTATACTCTATCCTTATATGCAATCTTTCTTTTATATATTACCACCACCGAATTAAATACGTCTATGAATTCGGTGTTCATCTTGTTGTGCTAATGAGGTATGGCAACTTGAACCGATGCACGTGTCTGGTTCTAAGTCGTAGCTGACTGACTGACTCTTATCAGGTCATTTGATTCTATTTGCTTCTGCAACCATTTATGTACATATAGGTATCATTACCAAGGTCTGACTTGATAATTTCGAAAAAATTGAGCATTGAGTAGATTGTTACAAATAAATAGTATATTTATAATGTCCCAATGAGTAGAAAAATTAGATTTTCTGACGTTTCGTGGCTTAGTGTAAGTCACTTCTTCAGAGAATAAATAACCAAATTCAATTTGGTTATTACAAATATACTATTTATTTACATTTATGTACATGTTCACACACCCTAATTCTGTGATCACAATTACTCCTCCCTGTTTTTGTGTGACCACACACATGTTAATTGGTAGACACAGTGAGATGTGACGCAATCGTTTTTATGTCTTCTAGGTTTCCTATGAAGCATGAACCTTGTTCTTTCCTTGATAGTGACCTTCGCTGCCTAATACGTCTTGTTAGTGACTGATTTAAGCCTTTGTTTCCATAAATGACTATTTGAATCACCTCTAAACGGTAAGGTGATGTGGACAGGCTTCTTCTCTGCCAGTGCCATAGTACGTCTCACTGTAGCATGAACTCTCCATCTATTTATGAATTTAAGGGAATAGATATTTTCCATTAATGTTTTGTTTGACAATCTAACATCATCAGGAGCGTCATTTGTGCAAATACGACCAAGCTTGTTAAATAAGCACCTTATCAAACCCCATTTGTATTGCACAGGGCAATAACTATAACTGAGGTATTGGCCTGTCCATGTTTGTTTTTTAAAAGTGAATCGTTTGATTAAGCCATCTTCTCATCTACTTAGAAGTATATCTAGAAAGGGAAGCTGGTTGTTCTTCTCCTCTTCGCATGAGAGACTAATATGGTTTTGAAGTGTTAAGTTTATTCAATAAACAGTTCATATCCTCCTTTCTTTCACAGACAACTAAGATATCGTCCACATGCCTCTCATAAAGTGACATGTTTGCGATTAGGTCTTCAGCTAAATTTTCAACATTTGCCATAAACACATCTAGTAATGGTCTTAACGGACTACCCATAGCAACCCCATTAATCTAGCGGAAGTATTTATCTTCAAAGTGAACTGGAATTTGTCAGTACATAATAGTAGTAAATCTAAGAATTTTTAAAGGGACAGGTAATTTAAAGATATGTAGTCACATAATATATCAATAGTCTTTTTGAAAGGTACATTTGTGGACAAGGGATTCAAGTCAAATGAACACATTGAGCTTCCATTGATATGGATATCATCTAGATGATCGGCCAATTCAAAAGAATCCTTCAGAGAATACTTACATAAACGTTTTGGGATAGGATCCAGCAATTTCGTTAGCCATTTGGCTAGGTTATATGTAGGTGATTGGCTTATTGATAAAATTGGGCGTAAAGGAATGCTTGATTTGTGAATTTTAGATAGTTAATATAAATACTCAGAACACATAGGTTTTAGAAAATTAAATTCTTCTTTATCAGTAATATTCTTGTGTAGTAATTTTACTAGGTTTGAATTTACTCTTCCCTTTAGTTTGCTAATACCTCCGAATTAAACACCAGGCATACATTTACTTTAATCACTGCGAATGGATAACATCTTACTTTTATATTCACATTTGTTCATGTTAACCGCGCCTGATCCTTTATCAGGTTTCAAAAAGACAATATCAGGGTTTGTTCGTAGTTATTTTAGTGATTTAAAATGCTGAGTTGATATGCTTCTCTGCTTTTGTCCAGCATTATGAAATTGGTGTGCTATATTTGTTTTTAACGGACTTGTTTAATTATTTATAGTTGTATTCAGTTCATTTCTATCGTTTCCCATCATTTATAGGTTGATACATTACTTGATTGCTATGAAATCCCAGACGTTATACAGAAATACTTTCCCGGTGGATTTTGTGGTGAAGATAAAGAAGGCTGTCCATTGTTCTGTGCTCCTGTTGGTCGATTCGACCCAGGTGGTTTTATGAAAGCCACTACACACGCAGAGTTTATTCAAAGTAGAATTTATTTTATGGAATATATCATACAAAGAGTTTTTTATGAGAAGTCAAAAGAACATAATCGATGTATTGACCAGCTGACACTTATATTAGACATGAAACATTTAAGTTTGAAACATATGCATCCATCTTGGATCCCTGTATTTTCGGAAATGATGACAATAATGGAAGCAAATTATCCTGAGTTCTTACGTATTTGTTATGTGATTAATGCTCCACCAATATTTGGAACTATATTCAACTTCATTAAACCTCTGTTAAGTAAACTTACACAAGAAAAAATTCATGTAAGTGCTACATTTATTCTAAGACCCACAATCACTTATTTAAGCAGTTAACTCGTTTCAGCTGGTGATGTTTCTTAATCAAATTAGATTTAAATTAGAAGGCTGTTTAGGATGGCACTAGAGATTGTGATTGAAATAAATTCAAAACATTTAGCTTTTGAAGTTTTAAAGATATTAGTGCTATCATAACCCCAACATCGTAGAATAACAATGTATACCATCATAAATTATAACATCACATGAACTGAATTTCTGTGATGATATATTACTGATGATTTTGTGTAGAATTTCCAGTTAGTTTTCTGGTAAATGAAAATCAGTAGTATAAATATAATTGATCAAGTGCTAACAGCACATATATACTATGAATAACGGTGAACTAGAATAATGGGATGTTTATTGCTTTTATTGTGGCAATCGATAAATGGATCTATTCTGATAAGGTTAGTTTCCAGTCATGTTGTCTCAAGTCTTAACAGATTTTTACCGTCCCAAGATGTAAATGTGCTTCAGTTAGGGTGTCAGTTTGTCTTGTCTGCTCTATTCCTTGAGATAAGTAGGAATTTCAGAGACTACAAATCCAATTCCAGCTTTACACGCCACTGCAAATTCTTGAGGTTAAGGTCTGTTCAACATTTTAAAATAATATCAGTCAATATAAGTTCACAATTAAAACTGTTCTCAATATAAACCCTGAATATTTCGTCCCTCTTCATTTTTTCAACCCAGTATATATACTCCTTGTTTATTTTTACTCTCTCTGTGGCACAGTTAATTATTCGTATATTTAAACAGCTGAAAATAAATACAGATGGGTACTAAAATATGTATGCACACGCAAAATTTGTGTTTGGGCTGGGATACTGTCCGTTTGCCCAAACCGAAGCAGGTGGTTTTCTTGGGGCCACTCTCCAAGCCTTTGACCTAATCCACAAGAAAATGGAACAACGTTAAGAAATGCGGTCCCATGATAGTCGGTGACCAAAAATAGGTTCACACGCCATTTATTCCCCTAGGATCCTGTAGCCCATGTGTACCATTCGTTTGGGATAGTGGTTTCCTGGCTCGCATATGTGTATCCTTGGTACCCGCCAACCTGGTTTATGTACCGGACATTTACTTTTCGTCCCCCCAATTCCGTGAGCAACACCCCTATCACTAGAAGGCAGTGAGTAGGAATCCCCTGGCAGTGGTTGTATACGCGCGACCATATGAGAGCATTTCGGAAGGGATGGTAGACTCCTCCTCTCAACTGTACCAAGGGATTTTGGGGCATAGTGCAGTTAAAGAGAGAAATCTTAGGTTTTTACTTTGAACCACTAAAATTTGCATGTCTCAGAAAAAATGCCACTGCTTTTCCACTTTTTTGTTCATTACGGTTTATTTTGACTGCTTCTCGTTTAACAGTTTTGATATCCAAAATAGACATTTTGTCACATTTTCTTCTAATAAACTAATGAAATAATATGTGGCATCATTATCTTACAATGTTTTCTAATCTCATCATTTCACACATGAAACAATTATTAATTTTACGCTAACTTGTCGTTTTTAGGTATTAAAATCGGACTATCGTGCTACTTTACTCCAAGTAATTGACTCAAGTAAATTACCAGCCTGTTACGGTGGGAAAATAACTGATCCTAATGGTGATCCTCAATGTCCATCAAAAATTTCATGGGCTGGCCCCGTCCCTGCCTCTCTTTTTCGTAAAAAGCTATCAGATGATAAACCGTCTGTGCCCAAACAGTCCGAAGTATCTGAAGAAGTGAAACGTTTTACAGATTGCGGTCGGGATTTGACTATGGTTGAAGTTGGTCCAGCTTCACGTAAAGATATTTCTATTGGAATGGTCGATGTAGGTGATGAGATTAAATGGTGGCTTTCATGTGAAACGCATGACATTGCAGTTGGTGTGTTCATGAAAAATTGTATTACAAATGATGGAAAAGTTACAAGTGATTCAAGTAAAAGTCCAGATACCTATATCGAAATGATCCCAATGAAACGTGTATCATCACATGAAAAAATTGTTCAAGGAACTCTCAGTGTTGAAAACTCGGGTGTATACATCCTTGTCTTAGATAATACTTACAGTTGGACAAAATCAAAACGCTTATGGTATCACTTAAGTGTAAGTTTATTTAAAGAAGTTCAGAATAGCGACCAGTTTGTGTGAATTTCTGTTCTTATGTGAATTGATTACTTGGTGGTTGATCCAAACTATAGCTCAGATCCAGTTTCCGCGTTTTTGATTTCAGTAGCTACTTATTCCTCTCAGACTTTAAGAAGCAGCCACTTAAAGCCAGGCAGGTTAGAAACTATGGGAAAATATTACCAACCCAATTTGTTAAAGTTTAGATGACAGACATCAGTCCATTTTACCAATAAATTATAATAGAGAAATGCATAGTCTCTTAAATACCTATAGTTATAATAGAAACTTTCTCCTTTCATAATCAGGTTGGCTTTTTCCCAACATTCGGCCTACATTTGTCGAGAATCAGTCGCAAAATTAATATTACAAAACCACATTTCACCGTAATCATGAAGAATAATGATTTGAATTTATCATTTAAATTACTTTTATTTACTGTTTTATTGACATATAGTCTGACTAAAAAGTTAGTTAATTTACTAACACCATCACTTCAAGGACATACATATTAGATAACGGTAAATGTTTTTCTAATCATTACTTCCTGGTTTCTCATAAATCTTCATTTTTCTTACAAAGTTTCAATAGCCAGCAGTTGATTTGTTTCAACTACTTACTTTCCCATACTTTTACATCTGATCATTTCAATCGATGATCTGTATCATTTTGAATTTCTAAATACTTAAGTCATTCCAGTCATATATAAAATACCCTATGTTTTTAAATTGGTTCACGGTTTAACACTGTCTCTGTAATTATACTAAATTTCAGTACAATCAAGGCAACTTGATTGTCTGAGTGACTGAACATAGTATGCACTATACTTTGATGTTAGGAGGTTAGAGACAGTCAAAATCTTGGTCTAGGATCTTTCTCTGACAAAATCTAAGCATTCAGAAGACTCTATTTACTTTACTTCCTTTTACTGAAGACACCATATTGCATGATTTTGGATAAAGTTACGATTATTACCGTTATCATTACTATTCATTTCTTATTGACCTTAGCTGCTACCTTGGTGTGGTAGTCGGGGTTGCCTATCGTAATAACTCAACCGATCTTTATTGGCTGGAACACATGTTTCTCTAGGCCCTACCGTGCTAAACAGGTTGATTAGTCAGTCAGTGCTCTTAAATGCTGTTGGCAGTATGAGGGCGGTCATCACTTCCCAGTTGCCCACACCGTGAAAGGGTTCTTCTGGAGCTACCCAAAAAGGAAACTGGATTAAAGGCGGTCTTAAAGACCTGAGGGCGTGACCACAGTGCCCAAGGGACAACTGCTTGAGGTCGGTCACACACGACCTTTTTGTGGGTGATTTTCGTGTCAGCTTCGTACTTGTTGAGACCTTACCGCCGGAGACGGATATCCGTGGGATAAGGCGAGCTGTGCATTTTTAGGATCGACCTTTTCTAACCACACGCCTAATTGTGGGAAGGCAGCATCGCTGTTATGCTGGTTGTTTGAGGGAAACATCTTACTACCGTCACACCTCTGTACAGTCAGCAGTACGACTTCGCCCTCAGACTTTTGTCTTGCTGCTTTTAGTTTTACCGCTCTTCAACCGACCTGTGTGGCATGGTAGGACTTTGAGGAACGATTGTCTCAGCCCCCAAATGCCCTGGTACGGCCGAGAGTGGGGAGAGTCCGCCCTCCCTCTCGAAATGCTCTCACATGGCCACGCGTATATAGCCTCTGCCAGGGAAGTCCTACTCATTGCCTTCTGGTGGCGGGGGTATTGTTAACGAAATTGAAAGGACGAAAAGCGAATGTCCGGCGCTTTAACCGGGTTGGTGGACATGGAAAGTCCACCTAGGGGAGTTGGAAAACTTTTATTCCAAACCAACGGTGCAAATGGGCTCCAGTATCCTGCAAGAACAAATGGCGTATGAAGCAATCGTTGGTCACCGGCTACTATAGGACTCCATCTCCTTACGATGCTCCACTGCATTGTGGATCAGACCTCCAGGTCGAAGGCTCTGGGTGTGGGGTCCACTAAGAACACCACCTGCTTCGGTTTGGGCACCCGGGCAGTATCACAGCCCTCACACATATCGAATGAGATTTGTGTGGCGCATATATATTTGGTGCCTCCTTGTACCAACATCTGTGTTCAAATAATAATAATATAATATAAATGTCCCAGCCAGTATTGCTCGATTGGTTCATCACGATAGGCAGGCCTGACCACCACGTCAAGGTAGCAACAACGGTCTTTTGATTGAAGAACGGTAAGCTAAATAAAGCCCATAGGCGAAGTCGTACTAGTGACTGTAGAGGCGTGTAACAACAGTAAGTTGTTTCCCTCTGACAGCCATTATCCACAGAGATGTTGCTTTCTCACAACGGAAGGAAGGGTTAGTAAATGTCGACCCTTAAAATATCATGTCTTACCTCACCGCACATTTTTCCGTCTCCGTGAGTAAGGCCTTTTGGAATGCGGGGCTGATACATCGAAATCTTCCCATAAAAATGCGATCCACTAACGGCCTCAAGCAATTGTTCCTTTGTCTCTGTGTTTACACTCCCAGGTCGCTAAGGCCAGTAGTAATTCATGTTCCTTAAGAAGAAATACTCTTCCACAGTACAGACAGCCTAGAAGTAATAACGGCCCTCATACTTTTATCGGTACCCAAAATCATCTTGTTGACGATCGAATCCGTCCCTCACTTAATAATTCTTCTATTCCCTCAACTAACCCTTCTTATATATCTTTAACACAACGCACCACTGATGCTAATGATTCGAGTTCACGAAATGCTATTCCTGATCTATTGAAACCACTCTAAACTACATGTTGGAGCTTTTAGTGTTTGAACCTTGTGTCAGATAGGAAAACAGGCATTTTTTTATCTAGGACCCGAGAATCTTTCGATATCGGTGTATGTAGCGTCTCCGAAGTGCGCATACAGAATCCAAATACGATCATTCATTTGACCCCTCCCTGTCGATATTAAGCTTCGGCATGATTTACCCTTCGAGTGTCTGGATACCCCACTTCTTCTTCCTACAGCCTCATTGGTGTAGGTATGGCATTAAGTTCAAAAGCAGAACAGGCTTTGTTGAACTGTATCCCATTAGAAAGTCTCTTGTGCGCTGTTTGACTAAGCGGGACATTAAAAACTCGAAAAAATAGGAGCACATGCTGTTGCCTTTTCGTTGTCTTTGCCGACGTTCCCATTGATTACAGCTCGTATGAAGTTAACAGTGAATTTTGTAGGAGTTTATTCAACCTACTTCTAAAAGCTAAACGCTCTGATGTAATAACAGGTTATTTTAATGTTCAAGTAAACTAAACCAAACCGAAAGACACTTCATCGGATCTTACTGTGTTGCGACTTAGCGAACAGAACATGGCGACGGTTTGTTGCAGCTGTGCTTAAAAAATCGTCTATTTTTGACAAACACCAACTTTAAACATGAGGAGAAACAGTCTGACGTGGATACATCCACAATCGACTCATCGATGGACTCAAATAAATCACATTGCCATCAGCTCATTCTAGAGCATATGTTTGGATTTGAATCACGCTCTAGTTCCAGCGCGCATATGTCTGCGTCTTACGGGACATAGGAAACCTACAGCAAAAGCCTTTAAAAAGATATCCGTCTTCCAACCAAAGGGCGAGTTTACTGCGCAGCCATTCTCTCCGTTCTACTCCATGGATATGAAACATGGTCATTAGTAATAGAGGATTTTGGTAGGTTACTGGTGCTAAGCATTGCTCATGTATTCTGGGACCACGAAGTAAGAAATGCCTGGGTTTTGAATAGAGTACTTGGTAAATATGGGAAATGAATAATGGAGTAGTAAATCTTCATCAACTGAGGTGGTTAGGACGTGTTTTGCGTATATCCGACCACCACCTACCGCGACGGGTGGTGTTTTCTGGTCCAGGAGTAGGCTGGAAGAAAGCTAGGGACGGCCAAACCAAAACATGACGCCAGCCTATGAAAACATTGACAATTGGGCTTGGCCATATTAATAGATACAGACTACCTGGCTAGGGTCCACGTTATTATCGTAACCAGTGGTTAGAGAGTGAATGAAATTGCTCGAAATCGTTTGCACTGGCGCAGGTGCATCCATTCCTTGTCTTCCCCTAAATCCTGAGATTCTAAATTTCTCACAACGTTTTCATTTCGTTAATTTATATTTTCTTTCTGAGTAATATATTCGATGCCTAATCCTCCTTATTGCCACTGATACTGTTACTACCTATTTTCTAGGATTTAGCCTCCCATCATCTCTCTGTGCTAATGGGGTTTGGCAACTTGGATCGATGCACATAAGTACAGGTTCTCCGTCGTGACTGATTGATCTCTTCGGATAGATTCATATCGACTACTTTTTAATATATCCACTCAAATCTATTTGATCCATTTCACAAGTCTGATTTCTTAGATTTTATTCTCAAAAGCACGCATCATTTATGTATGTGGTTGGCTAATACTTTCAGGCTGCGGTTGCTTACGATTCATGTGTATTATTATTGTTATTGCTATCGTTATTATTATTATTATTATTATTATTATTATTATTATTATTATTATTATTATTATTATTATTATTATTATTATTATTATTATCGGTTAATATTGCATTGTGGTAATTTATTCTTGTTTTGATGACCTAATTCCTAGTGTCTTTTTTCTTTACTTTCTACCCTTCTCCATATATATTGTTCAGGTCACTGACAGAGTAGAGGATAATAAAAACAGTTGTACAATGTCAATGCCTTCACCAATAGAATCTTTGAATTCTAATTATAAACAACTCACTGATACACCTGTTAATGATATAACCGTGATACCGATTCCAGAAGAGAATTATTATGCTTGTCGTATGGAGACTGGTGGAAGTATGGATTTAAATGTTAGTATTTTATTCCGCTTTCTTGTACAAATACTTATTCTACCAAAAATTAAACAACGTCCCAATTAAACTGGTGAAATCAATGAAGTGCACACATTTATACACAAATACACACAACGTTCTAAAATCAATGGGAAAAAACCAGCCTAATGAATTCATTACAACTAATTGGTTAGGTCAAATCACTACCATTTGAAAGTCTTTCAGTTATCCTGTAATTACCTGTTTTCGAATTTTTCAAAGTTTACTAAACATATAAAGAAAAAGAGGATGATTAAGTGTGCGATATTGCTTTCTTATAAACTTACACTGCTCATTTTTTCCTTCTTCCTCTTTTGTAATATTTCTTTTCATTAAAATTGAATAGCTACATATCTTTGTTTCTAAGGTGTATTGTACTACTAAGATTGTGTATTGTATTTATATTTCTTACATCAGGGCAATCTCTGATGGAATACAAAAAATGGTTAAATAATAAAAACAGTTTGGGAATAAAACTTTAAATGTGCCTTTTTTTCTTCTCAAGCTTTCAAATTAGTGCCTCTTAAATCATACTTCTAATTACTAAAAAAAATACTTTATTGTTACAAGAGTTTCCTAATCTCTTCTGTTTCTTTAGTTTCTTGTTAATATCTGAGAGTTGATTTTTTGTTACTCGAAAAAATATCATTTATTGAATAATTTCTTTATTCTGTTTACTACCGTTTTAAAACAAATTAAATATGATGTGAATGGTTGTTTAAAGTAAATATGTGACATGAATTAGTGGATTTTCAATGAACTATGCACATTCTTGATGTCATTGAAAATTGAAATTAGTCAAAGAACCTGTATGAATTCGGGAGAATATTTAATAGGTGTTTCATCTTAGTTTTGATGCTTTTTTGAGATGGTAATCATTATCATGTTTCTGGAGAGTGGATGGCCTAGTAGTTTGAACGTCCAACTTTCAACCGTTGTGTCACTTCAATCTCGCATTTCGGTTTGGACAATCAGACACTGTTACAAATTAATGTTACTCAAAGTCAATTACGTAAACTTGTATTTGATTACTGAGTTGTATCAAATCTAATTAAGTCTTTTCAGATTAAATATAAAACTAAGTTTTCAAGGTGAACAAACAACCACTTGCTTAATTAAGAGAATTTCGATTGTATACGGTTTTTTGGGATTGAGAAAAACCAACAGGATGGTGCTCGTTTATCAATCTTGGGGAACCCCATATTTTCCTACCTATTTAGTAGATTATGATCAACAGCGACTTTTTCCAGTAGTTGTTGTATTGCATCAAGATCATTACGTAATTTACTGTTAAGTTTCATGCTTAAACTTTTGTTTGGTAGTTTATATTTAAGTGGTGTTCAGACGATGGCTTACTCATCAGAAAACTTGTCAGTTTTGAACCCTGGTGGATATTACTTTGTTTCAAACAGTTCACATGTATCAGTAGCCATTACATAAAAAAATTCGTCGCTCAAAACTCAGTACACAAATCTTCACACGATTAATGAGTTACATTATTGACTAATCAACTGAATGGTAATTAACTTTATTGTGTCACAGGAAGTGCATAATTATTTTCTAAAACACTGTTTGAGCCTATCAGAAATTTATAGAATCTCACATAAAACTATCTTGTTATTTCTGATTAGAAAACCATTTATTGTGCTTTAAACTAACCACCTGAGTATATATTCAGTGGTCAACTTCTTATACTTTTCCATAATAATACATGTCGAGGAACAGCTGTTAGTCTAAGAAATTCTAGTAACAATTTTAGTGGTAGGAGTTATTTTAATTTAATGGAATTCTATTATATTTGTCATCTTAGTTTATTAAATCGTCATGAAGTTTTGTTATGGTGTTAAATTATAATGGTCTAAAAGTTCCTTTCGTAATTGAATTTACTAAAAAGTAATTTTATGAAAATGAATATTCAATAATAAGTTTTGTGTCTAAGTAAATGGAATTGGAGTCCAATATTTCATTAATTCGATCTGAACTCCTATACACCTAACAAGATCAACTTATTCAATTTGTAAAAAGTATTAAACTTTAAACTATATTTTTGTGGTTTCTTTGAACAATTAAAGTAAAATGTACTGTGGAAATTGTTTAATTCTAGTATAGCTTTAATCAAAAATGGCTTTAATCGATTAACTATTGGGAACGAGAGATTGAACCTAAGGTCTCATACCATTCGTGATGTCCTTAGAACACTGGTTGGAAGCCATTATGCTCCACCTTGCCAACTTCAGTCAGTATTCAAAACCAGTCAACGAACATTCAGTGTTGTCGGTAACGTCTATCTAACTGTCGTCTTAGATTCCACCAGCTATTACCTGCCAAGAGTACTTCAAAAATTCATCTCAAAGCCAATTACTAGTGATTAAACAATCATTATCATTATTGTTTGCGGAGATTGTTCTTTTTGAATTTAGTTTTCACCTCAGACTGATATTCAGTCAATTACCATTAAAGCTATAAAAGGTAAACGAGTGTTTGATTCGCATCTGTCGGGTCGTGAGCACTCAATCCTGAATCTGTTAAATGAGTACTTTTTTAGTTCCTAGTAAAATTATTTTAAAAATCTAATTTATTAGACTAATGCGTTTGTAACGTACTTCTAGATTTCTAATAAACGATTTGTATTTTTATTAGACACTAATTTAACGTTTATTTCACGTTTTCTATAACATGTTTAAGAGATGTTTTTTTCTTCATCAGCGGGTATCATTTTTCAACAACTAAATACATACGGACTGATACTCAATAGTCTATTCTTCATAGTTTGTTTCTGTTTTTTAAATAACCACTTTTATTGGAACTTGTGTAAAAAAATTTAGAAACTAGTTACCCTTATGGTGTAAATGTTTTCAATATGTTCTATGCTTCCTATATTCAGTATTGATGAGTCGTTTTCTACCAATAAACTTTTGACAAACTTCCAAACTGACAGTTAACTTATATTTTGATATTGTTCACTATTCAATTGTCCATGGAATAGACACGCGAGAAATATTGAAATTTGATAAGATTCATGTGAAATATGGTGTGACATTCCTTTTCATTATATCAAGTCCAACATAGTCTTATGCACAATTTTGTTTGATGTATATTTCAGAATATATAAGGCACGTTATTGTTATTATTACTATTCAATTCAATGTTTAAATAACAAGAACTAAATTCAATATTCATTTATTCAACGTAACACTATCAATATTACTGAAATAGTTCATCTATGTAGTATATGTGTTTTTCAAAAAAAGTTATATGAAATAAGCCAAACCTCAACGACCAGATCTTGCATAACTTATTTTCGAATATATACTTTGCAACATGAATCGGTCCTAATGAGACATTCATTTGAAATCATGTTTCATCTTTGTTTAGAAATCCTCAATTGTGGACACCTACCAGTCGTCTCAGATTCAACTTGGTTGTTGACGTCATGTTACCGAAATACATTCGCCACATCATGCCATATTTGATGGTAAACACCTGAAATTACTCAATGAAGAACTATGAATTCTAAGCACATCGTAGGCGAGTTTTTTCAAATAGTGACTATTTCTGACAGGTGGTCCTCTGAGTTCCAATGGGAAGCCATGAACGGTAAAGCTCAACCATTTTGGGTGGGTCAATTACTCACCAATAGCATTTGAAGATATTTACACAATATTGCGAACTGACTGAAGTTATAAATATGGGCCACTAATTATATATACGGTGATATAAAGGTTGGGCGCTCCGTGGGACAAGAATGTACTGGGTTCGATCCCCGGTGACATATCGCTGATGCGCACTTCTGAAGCGTTCTATACCATAACGAAGAAGCTTTCTGACTTCAGTGGTGCATAGTACGACAAATATGTATTCATGTTGACTGAGTCAGTAAACACTTGATTGTTCCAAAAGTAACACAGCGTTGTTGACGCAACGTAAAATGATTTATGGATAAGAACATATAAACTGAATAAAAAATATATTTCGTGTTCTAATTTGTGTCTTTCCCATTTTCAGCTTATCGTATAGGCTTATCTGCATTCCAATGAGGTTTGGTGCTTCTGATGAGTCTCAAACTCAACACACCGCGGCGAGACTATAATCTGTAGACGAACCAATCACATTTAAGTTGACAGGTCTTGGGTTTTGGCGTGAAATTCATTCACCCATACTGTTGAATAGCATTTTGGCATTCTAGTTGACTTCAGTTGGTAATGAAAACTAACTGCGATTCCTAACCTTAACGTCCGACTGTAAATCCTAATTCCTCACACTGATTTAAAACTTTCATTTAACCCTAGTGAGTGGGTGGACACAAGGTCACCTAAAGATTGTTTAAAGATTCTCCATAAATTATAGTCTCATACCCACAACGCTTTCAACACCAAGGTTGTATGCAATAGGCTACCGAACTTATGACAGTTACCTCATGTTCAGTAAATATTAGTTTTAAATGATTCCTTCAGTCCTGAAGCAAATAATTACGAACGAGAAATCGCATCTCTAGGTTAAGACTAGTTAAACTGAACATCAGCATTATACAAAATAAATAAATGTAAGTTGTTTGTTTTTATTTCTAGTGTGTACACGTGATCACAGTTTTCGCTCGACCAACAAAACAATTAAAAATGTGTCGATGATCGCTAACGTATATTTGCGAAAGCCAGGATGGAAGAAAGTTACAATTGACAAAACTCATCATTTTATGGGTTTTAAATACATGTCTTTGTCTGTTCGAAATTTCGTCCAACGTTACCATAGATAACACAACAAATAGCTATCTATCTGATTTATTATATGTCACTCTCTCGTTGACACTAAGCATAGAATTTAACATCCCGCTAATTAGCAAAAGCTATAGGGTTCTGTCATCATACTATCATCACAGACTGGACTATACGTTTTAATCATTGATATTTACGTGTTTTCAGCAGATTAAAACAGCGCTGGTAGTAGTAACGTGATAAATGTAAAGTATTTCCAAGTACATAGAAAATCATATTTACTCTTACCTCTGCGTCGTTCACCTCTAAATTTTATTTCATAATTTAGTCCAAGTC